ATAAAACCCTCCAGTCTCATTGTAGCGTCAGTATAAAGATAAAGCAAAATAAACAACAGAGTCGGACAGTGCCCTAGTGATTTAAATTATGTGCATTAGGAAACAAATGTGAGAATAGATCTTGGAGTAGGCGAAAGGGAAAATATAATCTAGTAGCATGATGAAGATGAACGTCTCAAATTTTCCTGGTATTATTTTACACAATTATAACAATTCACATTATCAATTGTTATTGATTTTTGCCAGCGATAAAGACATTTTTCTGTGAGTTATCAATTGTTATTGATTGATTATGCCGGGCTTAAACAGTCAGTGTAAAATGCAGACTGCAGGCCAGGGGTAAATACAGACTGAGGGTAAAAATGTAGACTGCAGACTAGAGACTTTTAAAGTAAATATCATATTTCCATTATCAACAAAGGTTTTCAGGCTTATTGGAGTTGCCTATGAATAAGCTCACATTGGGAAGGTGAGCCTGCTCACGGGCTATGATTTTAATGGTAGTGAAAGTCTCACTCTAGTTAACCTGAATGTCAGTCTGGTTAGTCTGTTGGCCTACATGACACTTCGCTTATGGCATGTTCCAAAACGTGAAATGGGGAAATAATAATTTTGCTCCACTGAAATCTGCATATGTTGACTTGTTCTGTTTGTGTGATTGTTATTTCACCATTTTGCCACTTTTGCCTAGGATTGGAAGTGATCCCTAGATTGTACTGTAAATGATCCCCAAACCGGGAATGGTCATCTCCCAGTAAGAGATCTACATGAGGGCTCAGGAATTTGGACCATGGATTTAAGATTTATATAATCAATCCTTTTTCATTACTGACAGTGAAATTCAGAAAACCGTGAACACTTTGATTTGATTCTGGACGCAAGCAAAATGTATAGTATTAACAATTTGGATGCAAATTTCTCAAGTTTAAAAGTGATATCCAACGTTGGGAAATCCTGTGTTTGAATTTTGTGGTTTAGCTGCATCCTTCCCTGAATGACTTATTGGGTCCAGGCCTGAGATGTACGCTAACACAGGATGTTCACTTTATCGTCAAATTTGGAGACAAAAGAGAATTCCCAAGAGGATTGACTACATTATCACATAGCCTTTGGCACAGAGGAGATTATTAACCGCGCGGCCATGGGCCGAGCGCGGTTCATGTTCTACCCTTGGTTTATTTTTTTTTATTT